GTCTAGTTTTAGAGAGAAATGCCTGTACCTTCTAGATTTTTCCCACTTCTATTCCTTCTTCACTCAATCACTAATTCCTCTTGGACCCTCCAGAGTTGTTGTGTGTATGTGGAGTTATTATGGGGAGAAGGAGGGCAGGTAAGGAGCAAGAAAAATCTTCTTGACTGGCACCAATGTAATGTGGCATTCTACTAAACATGAGTTCACAACTGAAAACTATAAAACATTTAAGGAAACAAGAAACCATGAGTGAGAGTTAGCAGAAGTAACAAATTTCAAAGTTAGGCCCACAAAGACTGCAGATATTGGAATTACTGAGCATAAAATATAAATAGTACATTTAATATATTCAAAGAAACAAGAGGGAATTGTATAGAAGAGTAAGGAGCAAGACACTATCAACAATGACCATGCAGATTTGAAAAAGGGCTAAATTGAACTTTCAGAAATGAAAAATATACTAATTAAAATTAAAATTCAGGAGCCAGCCCTGTGGCCGAGTGGTTAAGTTTGCACACTCTGCTTTGGCGGCCCAGGATTTCACCAGTTCTGCATCCCAGGCGTGGACCTAGCATCACTCATCAAGCCATGCTGAGGTGGTGTCCCACATAGCAAAAACAGAAGGACCTGCAACTAGAGTATACAACTATGTACTGGGGGGCTTTGGGGAGAAGAAGGGAAAAAAAGAGAGATTGGCAACAGATGTTAGTTCAGGGCCAATCTTTAAAATAAATAAATAAATAAAATTCAGAGGAAGGAGATTAGAGCCAACTGAAGAGAAAAGTAGTGAACTGAAAGATGAACTTGAAGAAAGTACTCAGAATACAGCACAGAAAGATGAAGAGATGAAACTACAAAAGACAGACCAAGCAATATGTAAGACAGAAAGAAAAGTCTAACATACGTTTAATTGACATTTTCAAAAGAGAGTTTAAGGAGAAGAAGAAATATTCAATATGTTAATAGCCGAGAGTTTTCTATCACTGATGGAAAATCCAATCCACAGCTTCTGGAAGCACAATAAATCCCAACCTGAACAAGTTAAAAGAAATCCATACCTGGTGGCATGTTAACTAAACCAAAGGACACTAGAGACAAAAAGAAGATCTTAAAAACAGCCAGAGAGACAAGACAGATTACTTACAAAGGAAGGACAATTAGATTAGTAATTAACTTTCAAAAGCAACATTAAAAGCCAGAAGGGAGTGGAATAATATCTTCAGTATGCTAAGAGAAAACAACTATTAATCCAAAATTGCATACTCAATGACATTATCTTTCAAGAACAAGAACGAAGTAAAGACTTTGTTTTAGATAAACCCAAACTGTAGAGTATCCTCACAAAAGACCATCACTAAAGAAAACTTCCTTTAGAAAGAAGGGAAAAGATTTCCAAAAAAGACCTGAAATGCAAGAAGAAAAGATGTGTAGAAAAAACATGTAGGTGACCCAAACATACACTTTACAAATCAAATGCAATATTTTATAAAGCTGAAAAAGCAAGATGGAATTAATACAATGGACAAAATAGCAGAAAGTCCAGAGGAGGTCATCAGAGCTAAACTGTTTTAGAGTACCTTTAAGATAAAATGACATGTGAACATTTTTAGGTGAGCTACTCAAAGAAGAGAACTGAGTCCAGATGCTTCAAGCAAGGGCAGGTTTTTCCATTCAACCAGGATCCTAAAATCTGGAATTCCCTTGAGAGGGCCTGGCCAATAGGAGGGTATTAATCGCTCCCTGAGGGATTTATCACTTCTTTTGCAAACAAAGGATTTGAGTTGCCTTCTCTTAATTATGACGATGTGGAGTTTTTCAAATCTCTTCAGAACTTAAAATGTCCTCCCATGAATGGTTTCCTTCCTCCCTTCCCCAGGTGGCATTTCTAGCAGCAAATGCTTGTGCCCTTCTTGAAAATGAGCTGGGTACCACGACATCATCCAACCATCTTCGCTGCTCCTCATCTCCTGAATGTTAGACAGCCTGTGGAGAGCAGTGAGAACGGCAACAGAATTCATCCAGGTCATAGCTCACTAAAATCTGGGAAAACCTAGCTTCAGATCTGTCAGTGCTTGCCTCCCCCATAGTCCCACAGTATTTACTCCTCTACTACAGTACTTAAAACATTCGGAGGCCGTCATGCATCGTATTTTTTTTCTGCTGAGGTCATTTAGGGTCAGATCATGATTAAACATGGTTGTGTTAATTATGAGTTCTTGATAGCAAATGTTGGTGGAAACATTTTATTTAGTTTAAAACACTACAACCAAATTCACTTTGTATGTTTGACACTGAAAAAAATCATGGGCAACAGTGATACAAACATTTCAGTTTTGATGCCACAGACAAGGCACAAAAACAAGTGGGCAGGTGACTCTCAGGAAGCAGATTTCTGACCCCTCTTTGACCCATTGTTCCTTCTATTCCCTTATTCTTTATTCCCACAAGGAAAATTCTCATGGGTAGTATCTAATACCTTTGTTAATAAAGTGGCTTTTCCTTTAAGCCAAGATAAGAGCGAAGTTGTGTTTCTTTTAGCTTTCCCAGAAGAAAAGCGTCAGACCACTGACCTGCGTCCAGCCCCACCAAGAAACCCTCACAAAACTTTGAACTAACCCGCTGCATTGTCTCAGCTGGCCCCTCCAGTTCTACCTAAAATCCCAAAATGCTGTGAAGATGCGAGACAGTTCACTCCTAAGCAGGTCACCCCCAACCCCGGAATTCTGAGCGGAGATCAATTTGCAGTTTGACTCAGAAACTCCTCTTCAGGAAGGATTCTAAAATCGGAAGCACATTTTTATCAAAGCCTTTTCCCCTCACCGCGTGGCTAACGAAAGTGGAACTCTCCTGGAGCACAGCTGACTCCCTCTGAGAGCTGCATTTGAGGAACGGTGCTTGGGAGGATGGAACAGCAAGTGTCTGTCTTCACAGCTTCACTGTCCCCTGACATGTGAGTGAGCATCGAGGCCAGGACTCTTCTCACCGGATGTTTGGCTGTGAAGAGAATCAGCCAGATTCCAGTCTCACAGGTATTGTAGGAACTGGAAAGAACCCTAGACAGACAGTCAGAAGGCCTGGCTCTATAATTTTAAAAGTCACTTGACCATAGGCAAATCACTTAGCCTTTTCAACTTCGGTTTTACATTCTGTTTGATGGGTCCACCATATCTACTTTGCCTCTATCATGGGGGTTGTTGTAAGGATCAAATGAAACAATGCACGTGAAAGTGCTCTGTAAATAGTAATACACCATAATCTGATACAAGTATTATCAGTATTCGCCTCCTTATCACCTTCAGGCAGTGCTAAAGCTTGGGCTGCCGCTTAAAGCAGCTCCACATTAGCCTTGTTCTGCTTCAGTGTTAAAGCTCCTTACTTCGAGCTTCACTGATCAGCTTCCCAGGTGACTAGGATGTAGGATCCTGGCAGAGAAAAACCAGGCGCTTTTTTCTTCTGGGATTTTAAGTACCTGGGCCCCTATTTTGGCGAATTTGGATCTCTACATCTATAAATCAATTTCAAACTCCTCTAAGATTCTGGCAGCATTTAAAGCTGATGTTGGAAGGATATGTGATGTAGATTTCATTATTCTTGCCCACTCTACTTTGGGTCTTGAGGTGGAAGTGGATGTGGACCAGCCAGACTGATAATTTGAATGTTTCAAAAAATTATTTTTGTCATTTCCCCAGTGGTCTCTTTGCTTTCTATTCATGATCTAAGTTTTGCTCAGAATGGCATCAAGGGAATGAGAAAATTACCTGTAATTCTTGTTGTCAGATGTGAGATTGTCACAACAGATCTCTACTCCAGGACTGGAAACATCCAGAACAGGCTCCTGGGAAGTGCTCCTAGCTTTCCTGTCTCTCTGCTTTACATGGTTCTCTGCCCCTGGGCCCTGGTGAGCCAGTCACCATGTCTCAGACAGACCGATAGGTGCTTCACCCCTGCCAGCCCGAAGGGAGTAAGGGGAACCTCACCAGGACATTTGAAGAAAAAATTTCAAAGTCCAAGGAAGCCTCAGGACCAACTGTTTGGGGTACACCAGGGGTAGGACCTAGTGCAGCATTTCCCAATTGTATGTGATCACAGGAATATCCTGAAATACACATTAAAAGTACAAATCCTAGCTCCAGACCCACCCAATCGATCTCTGAGGCAGGGCCCAACAATACATTTTTCACAGCAATCAAGTAATTCATATGGTTAGGCAATTTGGGGAAATATTGATCCAGCAGAAAAGACCTACAGGCTTGGAGTCTAATGACCTAATTAGGTCTGTGACTTCACTAATGGCAGCAATGGTTCATTTCTCCATCTATTATGGGGAGTGGATTACAACAACATCTGTGACTCCAGCCTCTCTCCAAGGCTGCCTAAGGTCTAATCAGATTACCTATACGAAGTCTTTCAGACTATTTAGAAATATTTACAGATGTGGCTCATTGTTTTTAGCATGGAGTGCCTTGGGCCAGAGTGGCAGGCCCTTCCCACTCTTAGTTCGCACAGTCCCATGCCAGGTGCAGAGTGAGGCTCATGAGAAGGGAGATGAGGGGCCCATTATCTACACAAGACTTTCCTGTGTTAGTGAGGGTGGGCAGCAGCACTCATGGCTGCAGAAGTGAGCCCCTTTAGAAGCTGATGCAGAGCTCCCCTGTGAGCATGCTGGGGTGGAACAGCTGACACGTACCACCAGGTCCATGGCAAGTGTCCCCAGCTTCCTAATGAGTCTCTGCATGGCTTAGAGAAGCAGTTCACCTACCAGGGGACATCTCCTGCCACCTGCATCCACGCCCCCTCACCCAACAGTCCCTGACTCAGCTGTGACTCACAGACAAACACAGCAGCTCATGCATCATCCCACTGGTCCCTGGGCCCCCACCTTCCTCATCCTAACTCCCTTCTTTCAGTTCAGATTTTTTAATAGTTGCTTTTCAGATTACTAAGCACATCTTTAAATAGTATGGATGGACAAACACACACAACACTTAAATATCAAAATATACCCATTTAAATAAAAAACTTTAATTCTCTGGGTTTGTTGTAACTTATCCATAGCGATATTTCATATTATATGCATAAAATCTCCTAATTCTTTCTTGGGCATGTCTCCTTTCCCCTATTCAATTGTAGGGTCCCAATGATAGAGACCATGTCCTACACAAGACTTATTATGTACCCCAATAAAACCTAGGAAGGAAGCTAACATGTGCAAGCACTTCCTATGTAGGACACACTATTCAGGGGAGAAGAAACAAAAGGTCATGAAGAGAAGAGCCGGGGTGCTGAGGACGGACAGCTTTGCATGTACTTGTCTAGACAGCCTTATCTCCTGTCCACATCCCCAGAAACAACTGCTTTCTCTCTTGGGAAGTCTGAGTGATTTATGCCACCCCGTGGAGGACAACCTGGTCCCATCTCCCCAGGTCATTTCAGTAGGCTGTTATCATCTTTGCATTTTTTATTGTCTGTCTGTAGTTTTGTTGTCTTTGGAACTGCAGGTTTCCAGTTTTAATAACTCTTTCTCATTGCTCCCCTCAATCTTCACCAAAATCATACATGCCTCCGGCTAATAAAAGAAATAGTTTTGGTCTCTGCAGCTGGTGCTATGGGGCTCTTTGGTGGTGAGAAGCCTGACACAGTGCTCAGTATAGAGATAATAGCTACTGCAGCTACCCAATATTCTCCAAAATTGCCTGAGCAAGTTGAAATCCAAAGCTGGTGACTAAGAAACGATGTTTTAATCATCTTTTCCATCTGAATTGGGACCCAAACAGGTAGACTAGACCGACGCTTTCAGAGACCAGGGACACCGGCAAGTCTAAAACTCAGCACCAGGGTTATGGCTTGTGTCTTCCAGCCCTTGGAAGTGCCAGCACTGGGCTGAACTGTCCTTCTGGTTCCTCTTGATAGGCCAAAGCCTCTGTGAAGTCCTTGGGTCGGCCAATTCTCCTGCAAGCAATGATATCAACTCATCCCTCTGACTCTCACCCAGCCTCTTCTTTATTTCATTGCACATGTAGGACTGTTTTGGAATGCCATAAAGTAAATGGATACCAGTGGAATGGTATTCTGAGAATAGGGCCTAGCTCCAGTAAGGTGGCTCTGGATAAGACCAAGGAGATGCTGAAGAAGAAATCTTCTTCAGAGGTTGTCCATGGATCCACAGATAGAGAATGATCCACTGCTAGGAATGGGAGGATAGTGAGGCCAATCACTGTCTCCCAGTGATTTGACCCAAGTGTGGGGTGAAAAGCTTTGACAGAGGGGAGACTGTGAGACACCTAAGGTGAGGTGGAGTCAGAGATTCAGAGCTGAACACTCAGACACGAAGAAAAAGTCAGTTTTCCTTGAAGAGAAATGAACATTTAAAGAGTGCACCAACTTTTCACACCTTGAGTTGGAATCAGCAATTTTGGCTAGGCTCAGCTAGGCAGTTCTTCTGTTGGTCTTGGGTGGGCTCACTCATGTGTTTGCATCAGCTGAGAGTTGACAAGCTGTCAGACAGCACGACAGGGGTAACTAGGCCCTTTTCTCTCATCATGCAGCAGGATAGCCCAGGCTCGTTCACCTGATGGTGATTGCAAGATTCCCAAGAGCAGCAAGAGAGGACAAGCCCCATGCACAAGAATTTTTCAAGTCTCTGCTTGTGTCACATTTGTTATTGGGCCACTGGCCAAATCAAATGGCCAATCCTGGGTTCAAGGGGTGAAGAAAGAGACTGCACCTCTTGATGAGAAGGGAAGAGTTTGCGGCCATTTTTTGCAGTCCAATTATAAAATCCAGAGAGATCTAGTTTTGGGATCTGGGCAAAATCTATCATTTAGGCAAAGGTGAGAATAGGAAGTGCTCCTTCCTAAGGAAGCAATACCTCTCACCTCTCAAAAGCATCTAGAGTGGCAGCCTGGTGAGGCCAAGATGCATGTTCCACATCTCCAGTATCCTGAAATGGCAGGGCTGGGATGGCAGAAACAACTCATGGTAAATGAAGTTCAAAACCAGAGAAGAATTAGGTAGAGTTTGTGGGGGAAATGGCCCACATTCAAAATATAATGAGACCATATATTCTTTTCCTCTTAAATTCTTGTCCATTCTTTTCTATTTCATTCTTCTGCATTACTGCTCTCTCCTCTTTTTCTCCCTCTTTTCTTTTGTGTATATTTTAAGCATTTATCAAAAGGCACCTGATGACAACCTAATCAGACTGCAGAGGGAGGGGGCTCTGTGTGTGGCACCAAGCTGTGGAAAGTCCAGGAGAGGAAGGACGAGGCGAGCCCTTGATGTCCGAGACTCAGACGTCCCCGTGGACAGCAGAAAGAGGAAAAGCAGAGCTTGTTCTCAGAATGGAAAGAGAAATACCACTTGGCTTTTCAAAAAGGTATACTCTCTTTTGTTTTGCTCCAGCCACTCAGGAACTGTCAATCAGAACAGAAAATTGAAGTCATTTCTGTGATTTTCCAGCAGGTCACTGTCACTGAGTTCACCAAAGGCCTTCTGATTTTACTGTAACAACAGTCATTGGCTAGTGCCTTGGAGGTGATGGGGATAAAAGGTATATTTTGCCTGAAGCTACCTTCTTTTGTCAGTAGAAGGCCGCCTTCTAATAGTAGCAATAAATTCTTCTGTCCCTAAGCACAGCACAGGAGGTACAGAAAAGCATACTGTAGGCAGAGGCATCTTCTGGAGATTAGCAGTCCACAGCTAACTCCCTTTCAGAACTGGAAAAGGAATCCTGGTTCAGCTAAGGAAGGAGATTGGACAGGATGAACTCTGCAGGTGAGAAACCCCATGTGTGGGAACCTTCTCACACGTAGCTGTTTTCTTGATAAGTTTCTCAAACTAGTTAGATGGGCACTGAGGTTTGGAATCAGCCTGTCTTAAAGGCTGCCCCTCATCCCTTGCCAAAGCAAAGATTGGCAAATCTTCCAAGATGGTGGCCAGAGAAGGTCCGGGGCCTGCTGGCTCGTGGATTTGTGTCTTGACCCCGCAGTCCACTTCTGACTTCTAGTCATCCAGAGAGATGTCTTGAAAACAAATATCAGACCACAAGGGACATCCTGGTTGGGAAATCACTCTGGGGAAGAGCAGAAAGAGCCCAAGATTAAAACACAGGAGGGTAAAGAAACTCAACACAACAGATGGTTCCCTGGGCAGAGCCCACAACCTGTTCAGAGCCTGGCATATCCTGACTCTTATGACACTTCATTAGGCTTGTGATTACTTTTCCTAAGCCTCAGTTGCTGCTGAAGCCCACCTACATCTGATAGGACGTAGTTCCATGGCCGCAGAAGAACTTCCCACCCCTTTGGGAATAACTACAACAGTTACAGCTCCACAACAGCCGGTGTGGATGGTGCACTATAGACCTCACATCATGCGAAAGCTCCTCCCCTGCGCACACACTTCAGCAGCCTCATTTTCCTATTTACAGAACAACAAAAGACATTTAATTGTTTTGGAAGAGTTCATAATCACGTCTAGACCTTTTTCTGTTCATGTTCTCTCCCCACACTACATGCTAAAGAAAACGTCCAGCTTAGATCATGAAAAAAAAAAATGGTGGGAGAGACAGGGTAATTGAGGTGGGAGCAGAAGCACGTGGGCTTGGAGAGTGGCCTCCAGAGCACAGGGGCCACCACAGTGGACATTTGTGACTGTCTCCCAATATTTCTCTGAGGTCCAGGGCTTACATTTGGGGGCTGAGGACTGGGCTGGGCTGCTCTTGACATTTAGAGAGAAAGCAGTTAACGTCTATATAAGACCATTTACAAAAGAGACAGCTAACTGGGCAGGGACCAAAAGATTTCCTTCACATACACAGGACACAGTACACAGCTCCTACTCAATAAAACGTCAGAGGAGGAAAGGAGCAGCGAGCTGTCCTTCATCGACAGCAGTGGCTCCTACCCTTCTTCGGGACGTGGACGTTTAGGAATTTGATGCAGCTTACAGACCCTCACCCCAAAGGGGGTGGAGAATGGGGAGAAACGCAGCTAGAAGCGTGCACAGAACATTCTGCACACAGCCCTCGGAAGCTCACCTAAGGGCCTGTGGTGGCGGTGACGCCTAGAGGCCCGCATGCCAAACCCTTCTTAACGCTGGTCCTCAAGGATCTAACACTCCACATCTACACACCTGCTACCTCTGCCTCGTCCAACTCTCAGAGCCCCACGCTTGCTTCCTTCCCCTGGTCCCGGACAGACCGAGGTGGGGAAAGAAGCAGCGCAACGTCCGGTTCCCCACCGCGGGGCCCTCCCGCCGGGCGCCCTCACGCTTTTCTTGGCGGCCTCCTTCTTCCTCCTCTTCTCCGAGTTGCTGGCGTAGGGCAGCTCGCGGCCGCGGTAGGACGGGCCGCGGCTCAGCTCGCGCTCGCTGTAGGGCGGCAGCGCGTCGTCGGGCGCGTCCTCCTCGTCGCCGGGCGGCGAGCTGGCCTCGTAGGTGGCCGTGGGCGACCAGGCGTAGTAGGAGGCGCTGCGCGGGCCGAGCCGCGCGCTCAGCCGGGACGGCGTCTCGAGGCTGCCGCCGCGGCTGGCGCCCTCGGGCCGGGCCTGGCGCTCCCGCGCGCCCCCGCGCGGCGGGTGCTCGTGCTTGGGCGCCGTGCCCGGCGTGCGGCTCACCAGGCGCGGCAGGGGCGCGTCGTCGGGCGGCCGCCGGCGCGCGGGGCTGTAGGCCCAGGCGCGCTCCGGGTCGCCGGGCGGCTCGCGGCTGCGGCTCCGCGGCCCGTAGGCCTCCTCCAGCGAGCCGTCCTGGTAGAAGCCTCCCAGCGCCCGCGCCTCCGAGCGCTCGAAGCGGCTCCCGCCCCGGGCCTCGTGGCTGTTGCCGTCGGCCCGGCGGGCCCGCTGGCCGTAGGAGTCGGCGAAGGCCGCCAGCTCGTCCATGGAGACGGCCGGCACGCCGGTGGCGAAGTTCTTCCGCGACAGCATCTCGGATTTGGATCGCTGCTGGCTGCGGGCGGAAGAGACACGGGTCAGTGTGCGGGCGCACGCGAAGGTGCGACCACCCGCCGTGTGCAAGGCGGCGAGCTCGAGCTCGAGGGGGCTGCCAAGCGCCATGGTGTCCTGGGGCCTCGCTCCGAGCCGCACCCGCGCTCCTTGCTGCGGGAATGATCTTGAGCACCTCTCGTGCCTCAGAATCTCAAACAGCGAAGTGCAGGCAATCTCACGAGGTTGTGTTAAGGCTCACAATGGATTTGTTTGGATAAAAGTACTTTGTGGTCTATATGGTGCTGAAACACCTGGGGCCGCCTTCTGATCGTTATTATGACTTCTGGTTGACAGCCACGTCTCACTCCTCACCCCATCAAAGCCAGCATGGGTGATGTGGCTTGCAATAAATATACACGGTTGTGGCCCAAAGAGGCCCTGTAATATTTGGTGATATACAGTGAGGCCTTTTCCTCCCTCAGAGCCGAGGGCCGAGTTACCTCTTGGGGTGGGGACAGAGGGACCCCTGCAGTTGGCTAAGTTTGAGAGAAAGGCAGTGTCTGCTATTCTTCCAGGTAAAGGGCAGGTGAGTGGTGAAGGTGCTTTTCAGTAGGAAGAAGCCACACAAACCCGGACGCACATCTTGGCCTCCTACATTCCTTGGCGGTGTGACCCTGGGGAAGTTCCTTAGCGTCTGTAAGTTTCCGTTTCCTCAACTTAAAATGGGGACGTTAATAGTACCTCCCTTTTAGAGTTATGAGAATCAAATGCAACAGTGTAAAAACATCTCTGGCATTTTACTTTTCACATAACAAATGATCAAAAATGATGGGTGGGAGTTTTCAGAGGTTATAGGATAAAATACACGAGAAGGGCAGGGAGAGTTAACAAGGTTCATTTAAAGGGTCTAGAGTACCCATTTCAAAGGGCCTTGAATGATCACTTCTCCACATGGTATCACCAATGTTCCCTTGCTTATTAATAAATGTAGGAGAGGGGTGGTCAACAGCCGATTGCAAGAGGGATGTGGCACGATATCCTAGAATGGGAGACAGAGATGCTATAGGGGAATAATAGGCTCAAATCGCCCTGCCTTCCAGCTCCTGCCCCCTCACGCCCAGCACCAGAGCGGCCCTTCCACAGCCTTCTTCACCTGTGCCTGAAGCTCTCCCGGTCCTCTTTGTTATACTCCATGGCTGAGGGCCCCCGGCTTGCCCCACTGCTGCCTCCCATGACACCTGACCAGTAGTCAGGATTGCTCTCCAAGTCCCCGGACACAGGGAACTGCTTGCTTCGCATCTGATGGTAAGACTGGCGGAAATGGCTGTCCTCCTCATGCAGGGAGCTGAGTTCTGAGATGGTGTTGTTATCTGCAGGGACAAAACCAGGCATGACAGAGCTGTCTACATGTTAGCTACAACGGGAACTCTGTTAAGGGCTGAGACCAAAGGCTCTGGGAAACTCCCACCCGAGGACCTCAGTCCTGTCTAGGTGGGTTGCAGACCTGAAGTCGTGGTATTTGCATTCTTAGCTCAGCAGGAACTGGCTCTACCTGGAGCCCACTTGCCTACAGAGAGGGAGGCTTCCTACGTGCTCTGTTATTGTTCTACCTAAGGCAGGCTTCCCAGAACCTGAGCTCTCGGCAGCTGGTCTCCTCCTAGTACATCATCATCCTTGTTTAAGTGTTTTTTCTCTTCTAGTATAATTGTCTAATGAGCTATGATGATCTCATGCATGTTGAGCCAAAAGGGGCAAAAAGAGAGAAGCCACAGGTCACTGTATCTTCTTGACTGTTGGTGGAGTCCCAAGATGGGGCCTTCAGAGCCAGTTCCACCCCATGTTTTAGAGGCACCCCATATCAGCCCCCTTTAGCTGTGCCCCTCTCCACAGAGGAGGAGTCCACAAGGCCAAACGGACTTCGCACCTAGCATCCATCCGTTCCCTTTCTGGGTGCTCATCCAGGAGCCTGGACTATCCTCCACAAATGGGACCAAGTGCATTTCCAGGGCCTGTATAGACCTCTTCCCCTGCCCGGAGTATTCCAGGTGTATGTGGCCATGGGCAGCCAGGACAGCTGTTTGGAGGTGTGGGAAGAAAGGGGGTGGACTGCACTTACAGCCTGTGGGCCTCCACCTGTACTCCTGCCCCAGCCCAAAACTGTAGGGGGGGGCTGGTCACAGCTTTCTTATTTCCTAAGGGGGCCTAAGTAGCTCTCTGCAAAAGCCCTTGTCAACAAGGGCCAGAATCACAATCTGGAAAGAAAAAAAAAAAAATCCCACTATTTATTTATAGAACTTCAAAATGGATTGAATTTCATTTTACTTAAAAAGCAAATCTAGTGAATCTATTTGTAATGTAACTGAATCCATTTGTTTTTTAAAATCCTTTGGTTAGAACTTCAAAATATTATCAAAATCAACATTCACAAGTTGTGAGGCCTGGCTGTTGAGTGAAAAGTAAGCCAAGAGAGGAGGTGGAAGCACAAATGCGGGGCTCAGGTTCCCCTCTGCTGCTTCTCCTCCCCATCCACAACTGTGCTTGGAGGAGCAGAGGATTTTTGCTGATTCCCACCCACAAAGGGGAGGAGGGCCTTCCCTCACAGCATAAACACAGCCTCCTCGTCCTGTTTCGCCAGGACACAGGGCTGACCAGCAATATCATTCAGTTTGATCATGCGATTATTTGGTTTTGAAGTATAATCTAATTTTTAAACCTGTTCTTCATCCTAAGGAAAATGGACTAGTTAGTACCTATTTTAAAGGAAAATAACTTAGATACTATTGATTAATAAAATCTAGACCCTTCCTTCTCTCATGATCCCAGTGGATTCCAATCTCCTGGGAATTATACAGAACTTTAAAATGCACCAGGTATGACTATTGAAAAATAACATTGTTGGCTCAGAACTTTCCTTAAACTTCAGGGACTAATGGACATTTTTCATTTCTCCAGATAGTGGGGGCTATCTCTGTTTCACCGTTCATATGATGGATGGTCCAGGTTCTATGCTGCTATAAAATTTCCGCCCCATTGAACATGAATCCACCACTTCACAGACACCTAATAAGGTAACTCCAGAACAAGAAAGGAAAACATTTTCTGTAAAGGGCCAGATAGTAAATATTTTAGGCTTTGCAAGCCAAATTGTCACAATTATTCAATTTTGCCATTGTAGTGTGCAAGGAGTCATAGATAATACATAAGTGAATTGGCATGGCTGTGTTCCAATAAGATTTACTTACACAAACAGGAGGTGGACCATATATGCCCTGGGAGCTATAATTTGCCGATCCTGCACTGGGATTCACGACTAAAAACATCCCAAGAGCAACCCCCTACTTACAAGGGGCAAGGCAAATGAGGATCATATTGGCTGGGAAATTCAAGAGCCTGACCCTGAAACTCCCAGTTCTCAGAGAATCTGCTCCTCCCTTGCCACAGTCTGAAACCATGCGATCCACTTGATGATGAGAGCTTCAAGACTGTTCCACTTTCATGATCCACCCCAGGGTTTGCTTTGCTCTTCAAGAATAGAACCTCTCAAAGTAAAGTGAACTATATTCCTACTTCATCTCTATGCCATTTTTGTAATGTCAACCTGCAGGTTCCAGGAGAGCCAGGATCCAGTTCTGGCACTGGCACTGAGTACTGGCACTCATTACTTTCCCTCCCGGCCTCCCTTTCCTCCTCTGTAAAATGAGAGAGGTGGATTCAACAACTTAGTCTCTTCCAGCTCCAACATCCTAAAGTCCTGTAAGCCAGAAGACTGCGGTCTCTCCTGCAGCCATGGAACCATCCAGTTTGCTCACAGGTTTCTTGTGTAAAGAGCACAGGATGGGAATCAGAAGAGCCAGGTTCTGGTCCTGATTGTGTCACTTCAACCCTCTGGGCTTCTGTTTCCTCAACCGTACACTGCAAAGGCTGACCTAGGCCACCTCTAAGGTCCCCCTGGACTCTAAGATCCCATTACCTTAGGACTAGCCAGCCCCTGGAGGCCATTTTAACCCAGGTAGACAGGAGACATCGCCTAAAGCACGATTCATCCTTAGTTTTAACCTCAGTTTTTAACTTTTTCTCAGAGCTGTGAGATCCACAGATTCCCTCCACAGGCTCCTTCTCCTTGGTCTCTGACTCTCTGTCTCTGTCCCCTCATGGGAATCCATGACAACACTGTTACAACCAGCTTGTCAAGTGCAGTGACATCTGCATTCCTGACATTCCAATCTGGAGATGGTCTTTTTATAGTCACTGCGGTGGGAGGATGCAGCAATGGATGCAACTCAGACAGGATGAATTTAGAATTGCAAACTGGGAGGAATATGTTGTCCTTAATCTGAATAAAGCTCCTCTAGTCTGGGACTGTTTCCCCAACAATTCCATCAAGTCTCTCGTTGGTTCCAAGGCGAGGAGGGTTCAAAGAGAGAAACAGGTGACCTCACTACCATGCCTGCCAGCACCCTCCGATAATTAGCCTGTCCATGTCAGACCTGCCCTGCGCTGCCTCTCACGTAGGCGGTAATTTGGACTCCACCCCAAAGAATCAGCTGTGTCAGCTGCAAAGTCTCCAAGGGCTTTGGGTGAGTTAAGGGTTGGGGCCTTGCCACCTACAGATTCAATAATTAAAAAGTTCTTTTTACAAGAGGGGCCGCTTCTTTGCTTGCCCCTCAATCTCTGCTGCTGGGCATCTCAGAGGAATGTAGGTCTCTTTTACGAGATTCATTTGGCAGACTTGTGCTTTCACCTTCACGCAGTCTCCATGCAGCAAGTCAGCAACTGGACTGTTGCTCAACGCTAGGTCCTTTCACTTTGGAAAAAACTGATACTCAAGCTTCCACATCTTAAGTCATTATTTTGAATACATTTTAAAGGGAGTAGCAAGGAAAGACTTTTAATAAAACACTTCCAACCTCAGGATTGCACAGCGCCAGCAATACTGCCTGCCCCACGGGGAGACACAATATAAACCAGGATGGCACATGATTGCCCTATTCTTCACACCAGAAACCCTTTGTTCTCCCCTCTAAGTACTAGAAGCTACTTTCTTTAGGATGGTGTCACCAGTATCCCTGCTAGCTCTGACCCTGAAAGCTCTGGGCTGCCTAAGTTTGGTGACTCCCGAATCCCCATTAGCTATGGACTCCTGCACGGTGCACACATTACATAAAACTAACAGATGCTCACATCTGCCTCTCATCCTTCGGGCTGGATCAAACTGAGCCAGCTCCTTCTCGACATAGTACAGGACCTTCATGGAGTCTCTCTCTTTGTCAGCTTGGATCCGGTAACCTTTGCGAACTGTTGAGAAAAGGACGAGATGGTGAGCTAAAAAAATCAGGAGGAGGCGGCCTCCGTTTATTTTACCAAGTAGAAAACATGGTTCCCACTTACAACAACTCTTTTTGAAATCATCCAGAAATAGCAATCTATGTTTATACATATGGAACCATATCCAAGATCCCCTTTATCAGATGGTGCAATTAGGATAGAGGACCGGCAGGTCAACAACAAAATGCTACTACAGTATATTTTTAGTCATTTGTTAACCTCTGCTTCCTATCTCCTGACCTTCTCTAGCTCCACTTAAACCTCATCTTCTCAAAGCTTCGGGAGTATACTCATACTAAAAAAAGACCACTCTACAGTCTAAGGATCACACTTTCCCTTGGTGGGAGCACATATAACTTTAAAACAGATACTCACATACCAGGGACCTTGACAAAGGTGGCCTGAAAGCCTCTAGTTGCCTGGGAGACGGTGCAGAAATTCCATAACTGGGTGGTGCATAAGAGCTAATATTAGATTATAGGCTATAAATGCATTAGTACAAAATAAGATGCAAAATACATGGATTACTAATTATGGTTCCATTTTATTTCTTTAGCATTTTCCTTTTAGGAAAGGGAATATCATATTTTAGACATGATGAGTTCAGCCTGCTGCTCTGTGGCTACAAGCAGGTGTTATTTCCAGGGCTTAATAAAAAGCAAAAGCATGAGAGATAATACCATCTCCTATGTTCCCATCACTCACACTGTCAGGGGTAAAGGCTGTTTAAGCCCCATATCACTCAAGTATCATTCTAGTCCGATACCAGCCCCAAGCAAGATCAGACACAGGCAGGTCTAATCTTCAGAGTTATGAGAAAGAGAAAAAAAAGGAAGAGAAAAGGGAATGAATGGGATGGAGACAGAACAATAATGGTAATAGGCAACACTTACTGGGCACTGAAAATGTGCTAGGTACTGCGCTAAATGCTTTCTGTGGACGTCTGTTCCTCACAACCACCTAAGGAATTAGCCACATGTTACGGTTGAGAAAACTGTGGCTCAGAGAGGTTTCCTAACTTGCTCAGGAATGAGTGGCAGTGCCGGGACTGGATCTTTGTCGTCTGATTCAAGCCTAACTGTACTGGGCATCTTCCCTCTCGGGAGTCTAGAAGCAGAGGTAGTGCAGAGAGAGAGAGGAGGAAGACAGGAAAGAAGAGCCCAGAGGAGGAAATGCTCCTCGGTGTGCCATGGTGGTGCCATCTGAGCATGGTCCTATCTTCTGGCCCATCAGGACTGTACAATGGGATGGAAGCAGGTGACCCAACGCCAACATTCTCTCTTCCCAAAGCTGGGTGGATCCCATAAAGAACCCATACGACTGCCTGAGCTTCTGCTCTCTGGTCATGTTACCCTGGCTGTGGACAAAGCCCCCCCCACCAGCATGTACATGGAAGACTAAGATAGAACATTCCACAGCACTCTAATCACAGCCCTGGCACCGGAGACTGAGAGGACGCCCACCCCCGTTCACAGGTGCACTGGTTTTCTATATGAGAACATGCTGGGCAGTCCACGGTCACCTCACATTGTGGAGTTCCTTAAAAAATTAGTCAATCTCAGTACACACTTTTCAGTAGCACCTTCTCCTGGAGGTCAGATCCCTAATCCTTATGCAGAAGGAATTATTAGCAGCAATGATTTTATTTATCAAGCGACACTCTTCCATCTCTGCAGAGGCCTTCAGAGTAGTACAGACAGTTCAATTAAAACGCAATTCTCCCACGGAACTGCTCTGTCTGTTCTGAGGCAGTTATGTCTGATGGATGAAGCCCGGGGCTGGGAAGGGAGACGGGCACTTGCAGGCAGGCCGCTGGGTCACTGAGAGACTCAAATAAATGGTGACCCCTCTAGGGCTCAGTTTTCATGTCTATACAATGCAACTAATACTTCCCAACCTTTAAATAACCTCAGAAAGAGAAGACAAATACATAAACAATAAAAAAGAAAAGACCAAAAAGAGAAGATAACAAAGACCCAATCAGTGGAGCACTTTGAGTTCTTTGTAATTATTAGGGGCAGCTCAAATGTCACTTCACCCAAAGGGCTTTCTTTGATTCTTGTAGCCAAAAACGTTTTCTCTCTTCTCTCTCTCTCACTCCTAACTTACAGATCATTTACTTTGAACTTTCACTATGACCCTTAATATATTCTAGTTTGTTTCAAGTTATTTGTAGAAATGTCTAATCTTCCCAAAGATTCTTGAGGAAAAAGAACTCTTACCATTCTGGATTACTGTAAAGCCAAAGACGGTGCTTTACATGCAGTAGGCACTTAATAAATGTTTGAGCTGAATTGGTGCCAGCCTGGGGATGGGGGTGGGGTTAATGATTTCTTTACTAAGAGTATTTTCAGTCGAGTTTCCCTCCCTAGACTGTAAGCTTGCTGAGGGCAAGAATCAGTTCGCTCTGTTTACCTCTGCATCGCCAGCACCTAGCAGAGAGCCTGGCACATTGTGGACACTCCAAATACGTGTTTGTATGAATGAATGAATGAATGAATAGAAATCGGGAATCGAAACTATATCACAAGGTATACAAAGTAAGGCAGAAGAGGCCATGTGGTTGGTTGGTTGGAGAATTTTGACCAGGAAGGGGAAGGCCTGAATGACGGTTTGAGGGAGCAGCAACATTTAGGTAAGTTATTGTTATTGACAATTATTTCTTAAGTAAGGAAAAGTAGCTTTCCTTATCCTATAAAAAAGGCTTTAGGGAAAGGGCCGACAGCACCTGCAGCTATGTCTTCATCTAGGTGTTCTTACCGTGTGAAGCACTGTGGTGGTGAACATTCAGTAATACTGAGATAAGGGGGAGGGGCTGTTGCTATATGAACAAGGTACCAGCTGTCCCCTGGCGGTGAGAGGTGGCCGCCACCCTGAGGAACAGCTGGAAACCTCTCCCTTAATTGCAACCTGGACTGGAGCTTAGATTGTTTTCTCTGTCTTTGTAACAAATCACATTCCTCATTATACGACAGATTTGATTTTGAATGCACAGGTTATCAGGTCCCCGAAAAGTTACAGTAACTGTTTACAGCCTCAGATGGAGATGGAGTTCCTCCTTTCAGTACTAGCATTAGAAAGACCCGCTGTACTAGAGACTTTCGGCCTTGACGTCTTGGTCACGCCAGCTCATGACTTCAGAAATCTAAATCCAATTTGTGAAAAAGGACAGAGGCAAAACATTGATATTTAGAGTATAGAGGCATCGTCCATTTTGTTTCAGTAGCTAAAAAGCTAGGCAATTCTCCCTTTAAAACGTGTTGAGGGGGGTCAGCCTCATGGCATAGTGGTTCAGTTTGCATTCTCTGCTTCAAAGGCCGAGGGTTTGCAGGTTCGGATCTTGGGCACAGACCTAGCACTGCTCGTCTAGACACGCTGTGGCAGCATCCCACATAAAGTAGAGGAAGACTGGCACAGATGTTAGCTCAGCGATAATCTTCCTCAAGCAAAAAGAGGAAGACTGGCAATAGATGTTAGCTCAGGGCCAGTCTTCCTCACACACATAAAAAAAGGTGTGTGGTTTTTTGGGGTTTTTTTTTTTCCAGGAAGATTAGCCCTGAGCTAACATCTGCTGCCAATCCTCCCCTTTTTGGTGAGGAAGACTGGTCCTGAGCCAACATCCGTGCCCATCTTCCTCCACATTATATGTGGGACACCTACCACAGCATGGCTTGCCGGGATCCGAACCGGCGAATCCCAGGCCACCGAAGTGGAATGTGTGCACTTAACCGCTGTGCCACCAGGCCAGCCCCTGTTGGGTTTTTTTAAATCAAAAACTCTAAGTTTGATTGTGTAGCACACTGTAACTAATTCTCTCCACCTGGTGGAATCTGGTCCTGTGTCACGAGCACATAAAACTCAAGAAAACCTTTCTTGATCTCTCCAAGCAGATGAGACTGCCCTTCTCTGAGGCTGCATCGGAGAAGAGTTTTATATCCATCTTTGTGTTTTTTACTTATTTTACTTCTATGCACAAGCTCCCAGCAGCCACTCTGCTAGACTGTAAATTCCTTGAGGGAAAATTTGTAGGCATTCATTAAATTTTTCTTGACTTGAAAACAAACAGAATGATGTCAGGTTGATTTCTATCTGTAATTTGTCTGAAGATCAGAGAACTCTCTGATGTCTGGTGATACTTTAATAAGAAGTGTCCTAGACGATTGGTCAAAGGCCAGCATCTTTTGGAAAATGACTTTTTTCCCCGGTGATGTTTCAGTCCAGGGTCGCTGGATGATTTGTTCCTCTTTTCAAGCTCACTGTGGTCCCAGTCCTTTGGTTGGGGTGGCTCTTCACACTTCAGCACCTCTAATTCGTCAGCCTTGCCCACTTTGGCTTCACTGGAGAGGGAATATTGGGATGTTCATTTTGATGCCAAACGGTAATTTCAAAAAATCTTATTGTTAAAGGATTTGAGCTGATGCTTTTGACTCAAGTAAGGCTCAACTATTTTTCAGCTGATTTTCCCTTTACAGCCAAATCTAACTTATAAAACTTGTAAAAGAAATCTCTAAGGCAGATATCCATGGATAAGGCCTTGTTCTTCCTGTCCTAGCCTAATGAGCTAAGAGAGGCTGTTTATGGATGATGGAACAGCTGCCAGATTCCACCCCCAGGGTGACAGCAGCTCAGTTGTGGGAGAAGTGATGCTTAAAATTTGCATAGTCTCTGTATACATACAGTAGGCATATATATAGACACACATCCTTATTAGTTTTGAAAATGACATTTCAAAACTCTACTTGCCTACTCAATTCTTTTGCAAGAAGGATGAGTGGAGGCCAGGTAGATGTGAAAATAAACTGGATTAAAGCAAGGGAAGAGTTGATATGGAAGCCCAGGTAGGAGATAATTGCGTTAATCAAGATGGGAAATGATGGCGGCGAGGACTAGGATAGTTACAGTACGAACGGAGGAAAGTAAACCGATTCAAGGTTATTTTGAGGTACAGTCTGAAGGACTTGGTGACCAATTGGATGAGGGAAGCGAGGGAAAGGAAGAGATGAGGATGAAGGCCCTACTTCTGGTTTGGGCTTGTAGGTGGACAGTGGTGCCACCCACTGAAATAAGAAATACAGGAGTTGGTTTAAAGTCAAGAAACAGAAGATTAATTCAATTTCCTAGAGGTAGAGTTTGAAATGCATGCAAGACATTTCAGGTGGAGATGTCCAGAAGGCAGCTGGATATATGAGACTGAGAAGCAGAAGAGAGGCTGGAGACAAAGACTGAGAGTCATCAGCATACAGACGATGACTGAAGCCGTGGGAGCAGATAAGATTTCCCAGGGAGAGGACCTCAGACAAAAGAGGAACACCAACATCTGGGGGCTGTGCAGAGGAAGAACAGCCAGCACACAGCAAAACTGGTAGGAAAAATTACAAAGTACAATTTTGAGGAAGGCAAAAAATATGAGTGGGTCAGGTGGCAGATGCTTTTGAGAGGTCAAGAGAGGTAAGGACTGTGAAGTATCCATGAGACTTAGCAATAAGGCGATCTTGGCAAGAGCTGGGTTTTGCAGTGGTGAACGCAATGGCAGGACGGAAGTTAGCTGAAGAGTCAGTGAGAGCAGGGGAAATGGAAACATTAAATATTCAAAACTCTTTCAAGGAGTTTGGCTGTGAAGAGGAGAAAAGGGATAGGGAGATAACATCAGAGGACTACAGGGTTTTTGCAAATTGTATATTAATGGAAGAGATTTGAGCATGTCTTAAATGCTGATAGGAAGGAGTGACTGAGGAAGGAAAGGCTGGCGATGTGAAGTGGGAATGGGGCAGGGTGCAGATATTCAATAAGGAGAGAACCTGAAGTGGGGCAGCACAGGAGAGACAGTCTTCCACTCTAACAGAGGTCTCTCACGGCCGCCATGAAGAAGGAGAGGAGGGGTCAGGGTGCCTCTCCTCTCTCCCCCAGGCAGCAACCAACTGGCTATACTGCACGCGGCTCATCCAAGATGCCTTTTCAACTACACAGAGTGTTCAAAAGACTATTGTATACAAAGGCAATCTGAGAAACTGCTGTTGCTAGATGATTACCCTAAAATCAAAGTAGCATATAAATATAAAATAGGCTAAATTTACATCTTTATCAATCAGCATTTCTTAACATTTCTAACATTCTTTAAAGAATAATCTACATGGAATGTTGGCTTAAGCTGCCTTTCTTAAAGGAGAAAGAGCCAAATGCAATTAGTAATTCTGGCCACGGGACCATAAGCACAGAAATGTGCCTGGTGGGGATCATGAAGAATTCTGTCCTGACTCAGCGAGCCAGTTAATGATAACATGGGCCAGACTAGCTGCGGCCGACATTGGTTGTGCATCTTCCCCTTTGTCCTTGCTAACAGAACCCTGATGTTGTTAATTTCCAAGGTGCACAGGTGTTTTGGCCTAAGAGATGAATCTTGACTAGGGCAAGCCAATCTGTTTTAGCTATGGGCATGGGACACAATTTTTGCCAATAAAATTGCAAAGAGAAGTCTGCTGGAAGGGGGAGGCTTCCAGAAAAGTTTTCCTCACTCTTGCAAAAAGCAGCACAAGGAAGAGCACATCTTCTTCTGTCTCTGAATGCATTTAACACCCAGAACTACGGCAGTCATCACGGGATCGTGAGGGGAGCCAGCTGAGGAGGACAGAGGATGTGCTCAGGAGGACAAAACGAAAGATGGAAAGAACCAGGCCCTTCAGTTCACTGATGCCACCTCAGCTGTTCAACCAACTCCAGAACCCCTTACCTTGGGATTTCTTGCTGTGTGAGATAATAAATTTTCCTATTTTTCAAGCCACTTCTAATTGCAGTTGGTTACTATGGCAGGATTGGGGCCAAAATGATTGAACTGCAACAAGCAGGAAGTGGAAAAGCTGAAAACAGGAGAGAGAAAGTATGTGCCATTCTCTGAATAAGAATCATTTTATTATGAGAATCCATTAAATAAAAAGTAAGAGGAAAAGGGCTCTGGTGGGAAGGAAGGAGAAAGAAAGGGGAGGCTGCAAATCAAGTTGAGACAAGTTCCATTAATGTCCCTCTGCCCACTCCATCCTTCGGGGAAATGGACTCTATTGTCTTTCTCTCTCTAATTCCCTGTGTGTCCTTGAGCATTAACTTTTACTTCTCAGCCTGTGACTCATTCCTGGTCTCAGACGTCAGAATTCTACTAATAGTTCCAGGGAGAGAAAAAACACAAAGACCAGTTACTCACTGAGGATCTCCAATCTGTCCACACTCTGGTGTTGATGGCTCATTAAGTGGGATAGATACCCTTCCTGCTGCCCACTGAAGGCAGTCCAGATGCCTCCAGGGCAGAAATGTCTGTTTGACCAACCCTAGTGCCTCTCCACATCTAGGGATTTAAAAATCACCTCCTAAATCTACTACATACACAATTCTAACCTGTACTGCTCTGTAATCCTGTTCAGATGCCTCCAGGAAAGCTACATTTTAATGCCCTCTACCCCTCCATCCCTGTCAATAACCACAAATTCATCAGGCTCTAGGTGGGGCTAATCTCCATCCAAATAAGGTCTCCTTGCCAATTATTTCATTTCTGCCTGTGATATGCTCCACTAGACAACCTGGAGTCATCTCGAAGCCTCCTTTTCCTTCATGCCGCTTCCTCTTTCAAAGCATCTCTCAGATTTACACCCTCATTTCAACTCCCATTGTCTCCATCATAATCCACATGTTCACATGTCCCACCTGAACCACTTCAATCACATCTCAGCTCGAGGTCTCTGACTCCACTCTGTCCCACTTACCACTCGCCTTGTCAGCGTGTCACCTGTCCACTCAGGAATCTGCCTGCAGCAGCCCTCACCTGCTATGGCACTTCTGGAGGGGTTTCAAGGCCCTCCCTAATCTGGCTCCACAATATCCTTCCACTTTCTTGCAGCCAGACAGACAAATTGGACGCCATCAAACATACTTTGTCCTACCAGCTCTGGGCTTCCCATGCTTGCCTTCCTGTGGGAGTGTTAGCACCCCCCTCTCTGCAATCCTTCTCATTCCTCCACCTCAATCTCACCTCTTCCCTGGAGACTCTGTAACCACTCCAGCTCTTTGTCCTTTGAACTCCCCGCACCATACTCTGTAGCATCCAACTGTCCTAATAAAGGTCTATTCTCTCTCCCTGTCTGGGCCATACTGTTTGTTGGACAAACCAGGTCCTACACTTCTTGGTGTTCCTCACAGTGCCTGTTATAGTCCTGAGCATTAGGGAGGGGTGAGATAATATTTATTAACTGAAGGATCAACATTCAAGGGGTACTTTGCCTCTTTTTCTTATCATTTTAGTTATTGAGGAGCCTGGAAAGAAAGCAAGGGGCAGCTATGTCCAGCAGCCCTTGGAAAGCCAGGCATGCACCAGAAGATATCTGATAGAGCTGGAAGGATCCCATATCTGGAATGGAGATAATCATTTTCCAAAGAAGCATCACTGAGCTGATGGTGCTTCTCCGCAAGGAACCAGATTGGAAGCCGGAGAGGAGCACGGGGCAGGACGGTCTGGAACTACATTTACCACTGTGGCTTCCTCCAGTGGAGTCACTTGGTGCCAGGGGAGGTGGATGCGGCTTGTCCATCAGCATGCCAGATGAGGGGGTTCCTCCCAAGGGGACAGAGGGGATGGAGTAAGGGCCGGGGACACCGGAGACAGAGGGAGGGTACCCGGCCTTTGCTGCTTTCCCTGCTTCATACACTGTGGAGGGAGATGAAGAGCAAGAGAGATTATATTGTCCCACCCTCCACAACCCTCACACCAAAATCCTTGAGGATGTGCTTAAGGGAGCTCCTGGATGTGTGCCTGTGTGTGCGTGTATGTGTGTTTCTCCTAAGCCTGAACTGATTCATCAGAACCACCCTCCCCCACTCCCCTGGACTCCTCCAGCTCTGCCAAAAGGCAGCGACATAAGGAATTACAGTGTTTAGTACCTGGCAACTGAGTAATTAAGCGGTGCTGGGAGCTGTCACAGCAGCCTCCTCAGTGACAGCAACAGCCCGCTCTTCACCGCACTGTCTGTAGGCTGCCTCAGCCCCTCTGGAGGAGGCCTCGCAGCAGGGCTGCCCAGGGCTGCTGCCAGGACGGCCCTGAACCTCTTCCAGACAGGCAAAGCCAGCCATGGGCTTGCACACGGTCCTGCTCTGTGATCTCAAAAGCAGGCAAACAACCCGACTCCTCCTGGAAACTGCTTTACTCTGAAGGATACTCAAGATACACATTGTGTCTCTCTCCTTCAAGATGTGTTTGGTCGATGGCAGGGGTGCCAGACTTAATGCCAACGTGGGTTTGGCCAGTAAGGTAAAAGTGTAAATCCCCAAATGAGAACTTTTACATGGTGGACCATTTTGTCATGGGAGTAAATAAAAGTCATCTGTGGCTGGACGGTACCCAAAGGCTACAGTTTGCACACTCTGCTTGTAAAAAGAGGAGTTCTCTGCCTGTGAGAGCCATGACCAGAGAAGGTTTCCTCTAGTTTGAATGCCCAAGGAGAGGGTAAAAGCCTCACCCCACAACCTCACCATCCTGAACCTGCCCTTCCATTCGTCAATGGTGTCAACGAAAATTCCAAATGCAGGGGTGAGACGTGTGGATAAAAAGCATGGAGCGGTGCGTGTGGGTGAGAAGGCAAAGAAGAATGGTCATCTCTGCAAGCCAGGGGCTCCCAGCAGAGGAGAGAATCGAGAACGACCAACTTTTTTGGGTGGAAGGAAAGGAGGTGGAGAGGGACTCAGGGCACACAGCTGTCCGATGGAAAGGTGACACATCTTTTTATCACTGTATGTCTCCCCAGTGGTCACTTTACTCACAGGCCTGAGGGCAGCAGCAGGAATCTGGGCAACATGGGCAGCGGATGTAGCAACAGCAGCTGTGAGGGCAGCACTGGCACCAGCAGATCCCCACCAGGACGAAGAAGAGGAAGATTCCCAGGATCACCAGGCCAACAAACACCCACTCTGGAAGGATGCACAGAGAAACCCATACTCGAGGCGGGCCCCCCCCCCCCCCCCCGCCACCGTCAGGACAGGCCCACTCTCACTGGTGTCTCCCTGTGAGAGGAGTGAGTGGAGGGACCTGGGGAAGAAAGCATCTTGTAACAGGACACAGAGCCCTCGGACTCAGGAGGAACTCAGAGAGAGAGAAGGGGAAACCCTCCTACACTGGGCCACGGAGAGGAGGGAAGGTTACCTGGGTCCTACTGAGCACACATAATGACCAGCACAAAGCGGTGGGGAGCTTCAGGGCCCTCTCCCGGGCAAAGGGTTTACCATATTGATTGTAGTGTCAGAACAAGTATGGGACAAGAGCAGAAAGACTCTTGGCTGGGGATAGGGGCAGTCTTGCTTGCTGAGCTATGAAGCGGTGGGTTCGGAGAATACATATCTTTTGACATATCTTTTGTAGTCACGTTATTCTTATCTATAAAAGCGTAAGTCCTGTGAAAAAGTCCTCTATGTCTCCGTGGTCTAAATTGGAACCTACTTAGGTGGTTCAAGTCCCTTCCGCGTTCATCTGCTCTCCCCGCTGATCGCCCCTGAGACACCCTTTCCTGGACCCAGCATCAGGGCTGCGATCAGAACCCTTTGCTTATGCCTGTACAACAACCCATGGCTGGAGAAAACTAGAGACATAGGCTCAGAGAGGAAACACTCCCCATCCCTCCAGGATGGTTTGGTTTGGTCACACTCGGGCTGACCATGCTAGATAGCCAGGACGCCAGGACCGTGATGACTGGCAAGATGGACACGTGTGTATCTGGCTATGTTTGTTAACTTCCAGTATTTTCACAGCTCTGCCAAATTCTACTTCATTTGCCCATCCAAAAGATGAAGAGAAAAGAAAAATTCCATTTGGCTTAGATAAAAATGACTGTGGCCCTTGAGTGACGTGTCTTTTACGACTTGGCTACAGGACCCAACTTCCCACAGGAGGACTGGGACAGACTGGAGTGAGCCGTGATTTCCTTTAAAAGCCAAGCATTGAAGTGATTCATTTTTATTGAAATCCGTCTACCCCCAGATCCCTTTACAATGAACTTTAAGTACACATTGTTTTCCCTGAGTTTTGGTTATTAAATATTCCTTCCATTAAACAGACATTCAGTTAGAGCTTGAGAATATGCCATTTTTGTTATATAAAGGATTTTGTGAAAATGGTGAAATTATTTGACCTTTGTTTAGAACGGAATTTCCTCAGAGGGAAATTTCCCGAATGTCCCTCCTCACTCATCCATCTGAAATACTTTCAAATTAACCAGATCAGCCTCTCTTTAGTGAGGAAGTGAGGCCTTGTGCCTGGCTGGAATGGTCTGGAAAGCATTCTTACTGAGGACAATAGACAACCGAGGGCGTTGGTCTGGGCCTTAACAATAACATAATAACAAAATGTAGCCTGAGGTAGATGCGAGCTGGGCAGATTACAGGAGCTGGGGGCTTCGTGGCTACAACTTGGGTCAGGCAGTCAAGGGTAAAAGACAGGCAGGTTATCTTGGAGAAACAAAGAATGTTGTCCATGAAAGGATTCTTGTAGTCAAAAGGGAGGAAAATTTAGGCATCCAGGACCAGATATGAAAAACAGTAACTCTTTCTTGGGACTGGGGGATATGACATCTAGTTTGTAGGAATGCAGCATAACATTGTTTTTTGTGTGTGATGAACAAATGTGCACAGATTGACAGAACTCTGGATAACAGAAATCTATTTGTGTCCTTGGGATTAACATCTGTAAGAACAGTGTCTATAGCTGGGTTAGCCAGCTAACAGGAAAGTACCTGGAGAATTCATGGAACAACAATCAGCGAAGCTCAACTATGAAGACTGGATGTTTCCTAAAACTGGAATCAAGTTAAAACCAATGGCCAGGGATATTTTGTATTGCTCTTTTGCTCTCAACTATTAAGGAGCTCCTAACCCTTTGGCAGAAACCCTCCAAAGCAAGACTGGATCATACCCTTTCCTACTCCCTGCGTTGGGATGTGTCCTCTCCGATAGTTCATTCTTGTTTCTCTCTGAGCCTCCTTCCATTATGGACTGTAGGGCTGCATCAAACTGATGTTGGCTGGTCTAGGCTAGTGTGTTCAACTGAAGCTACATAAAAGACAGAGGTGTGCATTTGGGGAAGGTGTCCTTGACATATGGTCCAAGGACTCCAGGGACTTAGGGGGCCCAAGAAGCCCCCAAAATTGTATAGAAAGCAATGTAGGTCTGTAAATGTGTACTTTTTGAGGGAGGAGGGGTGCATAGCTTTTATAAGGTTTGAAGAATGTTTTGAGAAAGTTATAAAAGGCAATTCAGAATAACATGGTTATAAACTAATGAATGGGTAGACATATAACTTAGGGAATACGGAATGCAGATAAATAATGACTCTCTTAAGGATACTTATAGCTATCTGGTGCAGCTGAGATACTGAGATGGGCTTGGAGATTGTCACAGAGTCTGCACGGCTGACGCTGAAGGACTGGGTCCCCATCTCAGCCTATTTTTAGTTATCATTATTCTCTTAGGGCCTAATAACAGCAGAAATACAATTTAAAGGCTTTTGCAATGGGTTTAGTTCATCCTGGAAAAGACCACAGACATATACAGACAAATGTGCAAATAAATTAAAGGAGCAATTAGCGACTAATGCAGAAGCAAGACAGATGGAGTGACAGCAAATTAAGCAAATAAAGGGTTAAACGACTGAATACCTGGCATAATCTCCACAGCAAAACTGGGCAAGAGATCAGCAAGCAGCCCTGTCCTGCCTAGAAGAGGTGGAAGGAAAAGAAGAAGGAAAGAGGTTACTCCAAAGGAAAATAACAGCCTGAAGCCCGGCTACAGTTGGCACCATCCCTACACGGGGCCATTGACCCATGCTGTTTGTGGTAGGAAAGGCTCAACACCGAGGCTGGGCTCAGTCAAGAGAATGAGCTTCTCTGTCAATCTTTGGCAGCCATCTCAGTGAACTCTGCACCTAAACCAGGTGGAAGCAGAAACAGAACTTCCTCTCCAACTATTTATAGGAAAGGATATCTCAGCTCCAAACATGAAAAACTCTGCTAGAGCAGACTGACACACACCATCTCCATTCATTTATACATCCTTCTCCACACATTTTATTGGAAAGTCAAACCCGTCTGTATCCAAACGTTAAACCTACATTTTCATACATCCATACACAGTCCTATGTCCATATGAAAACAAAAGTACATATTTGGTTTTAACTCAGAATTATCTCACTACATGATTCTATTTATAGCCTAAAGATATTTCAATGATTAAAATTTTCAAAGGCAAGGAAAGATAAAGCTAGATGAGTTACATGCTCTTCTACACTCCTTCTGTCTTCAGAAACACTCTGTACATATGTATATGGTCTGGCTCTTCCATATGGCACCACAGCTGGCACTGTACGGACCCAAGTGCCTTCTGTGTGATATGGCATAGAAGCTTAAGGGCTCGTGTCAGAACAGTTACCCCAGAGGGCTCTGGAAGGCAAAGAGCTGTGCAGGAAACAAGACACTGGAAGATGTCAGGGGGGAGGTTAGTCCTTTTAGAAACTAGCCTGATTTATAGAAAGAAGTGCTGAACACTTTCACCATGTTCTCCTATCAAGGTAAATGTACAGGCCCTGATACGACTTCTGCCCCTGTCCCAGCTAGCTCTTGCACTGAACCCTTGCTAATAAACAAGGTGCACTAGGAAATGACTAGCAAACTGTTCTCCTTTCAGACTTGTGATGGCAGAAGGTCACTGTGGTGCCTAAGCATGCCACTGAACTTACTTCATTCATGTGCATGCCCTATGCCTCTAGGACAGTTCTCTCCAATAGAGACACAATGTGAATGACAGGTAACTGTAGCTTTTCTAGTAACCACATTAAAAGAGTAAAAGAAATAAAATGAAATTAATATTTTTTCTCATACTGATGTAGCCAAAATGTTAACATTTCGAAGGCTCAGTAGCCACATGTCGCTCTTGGACAGCACAGCTCTGGGGTCTGTTTCATGTATATGGACTTGGCTCGTTTAGAAAACAGCTTTTCCTGTTGAAGTTTGTTGAGGTGCATTAGAGAAAAAGTTACCCATGTGTGTGGTTTATATTTGGAGTCTAAAGGTCATGGTTGGTCAGTGGTCCTCTCCTCTGTCAAACCACCCCAGAGAAAAGGAGCTCTGACAAAGGTCAAGAAGAAGGAGTTCCTCCAGGACATGTGGGGAGGATGCTATAGCAAGGGCAAGGTGTTAGGGACTCAGTAAAAGAGATCTTTGCTCACTTTACGTTTTCTCAGCTCACCTAAACTATACAAAACCAATGTAGTAAAATGTGTCCTGGGCATGTGTCCTCCATGGGTAATGGTCCCACATTTGAAAAGTTAATGGGGACCAGAGTGCATTAAGGGAAAGGAAGCATGTAGCGGGTGACTTAGGCTAGCTCTGTTTTAGGTTTTGGCAAGAAGGCTTTCCTTCTTTCTTTCTTCTGTCTTGTGTGGCTTACATGATAAGAATGGTCTGCTGCTCGCAGGGTCTCTTGGAAGGACAAGTGGGAGCCAAGTGGGGCACTGGAAAAAGGCATCCTGAAGGAGACTTCTCAGGCTACCTTTGGCTTAAGCCTTCACGAAAGGCTAAGGCCTTAGCCTCTATAGGCTCTAGCCTCGGGGGCTCACACATGGACTGGTCCAGTTCCCTAGGGTGGGAGATCAGACAGGGATTTGGGAGCAAAGTCTGAGCAAGTGATTATGAGCATGCATTGGACTCATCTGGAGTGTTCTCTGTACAAATATCTCTTGGAAATTCAACAAGGCAACAGACAGCTGGTCAAGGATTTGGGAATTTGGGATCTTGGACATCTCTTAAAGACATAATTAATATTAATTGCTAGCCAATAGCCAATGATAAAGAAGTCAGTACACAGTGTTTTGAACATGCCAGTTGTTAGATACTTACTTAATGGTGTTTTTTTTTTTTTTTAATCTGGACAATTAGCACTTCTAAGTATATCCCTTATGGTATCTAGTAAAACGAGATGCTTTTCTTGAATTTACTATTTTTCAATCCTATCAGTGTTTTAAAATCTCTAGATGTGCTATAGCCCAAGTCATTAATTACATTCATAATAGAAATGTTATTGATGATAAGCTACCAATTTGTATACTCTCACAGGAAATTACTATGTGGTAATTATTAATTATAAAAAATCCATACACTCAAGGAGGATATGACACTCATGTGTATTCTATAGAGCATGTCACATTGGAGAAAGCAGTGGCTGGGGGTCAGGATACTAAGGGCAGCTTTGCCATTAGTTTACTTGGTGACTGCTACAGGCAAATTGCCTCGTCTTTCTAGGTCTCAATTTTCTCATTAGTCAAATGAAGTGGTTGAATGAAGTGGTCTATAAATAGGGAGACCATATATCTTGGTTTGTCTGGGACAGTCCTGCTTTATGCCTGTTGTCCTGGTGTAATTATTAATAGCATCCCTTTTTACTTTCAAAGTGTCCCAGTTTGGACAATTAATTTTACGGTCACCCTATCTATAACATTTTTAGTTCTCATAGCTGATACTCAGTGATGTGAGTTGCAAACTGAGTTCTTTGTTTTTAGGGACCAGCAGGTAATGCAATATATGCAGCTGGCCAAACGTAATACATCAGGGGGCTCTGGGGGTGTGGCCAACGGCAGGTTATGGGTCTATAGGGGCGGCTGCTACTCACCCCAAGCCAACTGCTGCCCTACAGGGAATGTGTGTTCAGGGTTGCAGCTCTTCTGATTTTTCAAGATTAGCCAGACTCCAGATTTTTACATAAAATATCCTGATTTTCTAATGTTGGCAACTGATTCACAGATTTTTAAAAAACACTGGAAAGCCATACAAAATGTGTTTTGGGGCTGTATGGAGTCCAGAGATCACACGCTTGCAACCACTGAGGGGTAGATACAGATATAGTTATGAGCAGGTGAAACACAAAAGCTGGATTTCCCCGCAGGCTGTTTAGGTTATCTTGATGGTTCTGGCATTGCTTCTGCAGAATATTAGTTAATATAAGCTCTAGGCATCTATGAGCAAATTAAAATCTGAAAGAAACAGTATTACACACCAAATTGTTAGCTCTTCTTATTTCTAGGGAGCTGGAATGGGCCTCATGGAAGAACAATGAAAGGGCTTTCATTTTTCAGATTTTTTTTTTTTATGTTTGTAATTGAAAAAATTAAAATAAGGATAGAGTGGTATCAAAAATATGGACAGGAAATTCACAAAGCTTGTCACTCCAACAGAAAGACATACATCAAGCTTCTCATTCTTCCTGAAGCACCAGCCAGTAGCTCAGGCTTCAGAAGAAGGTGAAGCCCTCCCACAACGCAGGATGTGGTGACAGACTCTTGCAGTAAGGTGGCTGAAACTGACTGTCTTCAGAATTCAGAACACTGCAGGAGTTTTGGGGTAGCAGACAATACCACTGTACCATGTCAACAGTAGAGAGAGTACAAAGCTCTGTGGCTTTTGCACCACGACTTATATTTTATTGGTGCTAAAGGCATTTTAAAAAGTGGATTTATGCTGGAATCCTAATATTTCTGAAAATCATTTTGCTTCCAGCTTCCTGCCTAACAATTCCCTAAAAATGCTGTTGCCAGCTAGAAATGCTCCATCTTTTTTTCCTATTCTATTTTGTCACATCCACCACAGGTCTGATCTTAGAGAGTCTAAACAAGGGCAGTAAAGACATTCCAGATTTCAGCAGCACTTTACCCACACTTGTGAATCACTGTCATTCTTCCAGGATTCAGTTTAAGAGTGGCAATTACAAGTCACTTTAATGAAAGAAAAAGATGGAAAACAGCCCCTGCAAATAGAAGGCCACATTTACTCTTTTCAAACCACAGCTCAAACTATCAGTAGAAAATACCATTTTCATGTAAGCACTCAAACAGTTTTCCCCAAACCTTGCAGAATCTGTTACTTTTAAGAAATTTCCACATGAATAGACCAAACGAATCAAGCATGCTAATAGTTTGTACATGCACATACAGTGCCAATTTCATACCATACCCTCACCACTTCACAGCCAAAAGCATTCACATACTTCGGGTTGAATGATCAGGCAGAAACATGCACTGTGAATAAAACAACTTACAGATCTTACCTTACCCAATTGCAGCTGTTTTCTGCCACTGACACCTTGAAGTTATCCCCAGGTGAACTCTGTGCATGTTCTTGAGAGCCAGCTCACTTCTGGAATGGCTCCAGGCCACTCATTCACCATTCACTCATTCATTCAATCAACAAAGAAATGTGTACTGTGCCAGGTGGAGACACAGAGAGAAACGAGACAGTCTAGCCTACGCAGCCTGTCCACCATTGTGAGTACAAGAACTCAGTTTTAGGTGTCTGCTTCCGTGTCACAAGACTGACAAAGGTCAAAGGACTGTCTTCCTGGGAAAGCCAAGGTTTTCAGCAGCCTCTCTGCATTTTTGACATCAGGTTCCACCTAGGCCTGAGGCCTTTCCCCAGAGACACAGCCCTTGCCTGGTTTCCCATTTCTCTTCCACTCACCGATTACCTTTGCACACTTCACAGCAGACCTCGTCTTAGTGACATTTCCACAAGGTTCTGATACTCTTTTCTTGGTGGGCCAGGCCCCTCAAGGCAGGATTTACTTACCTTCTTTACTTAGATAACCAGCTAATCCACTTCTCTGTCTCCTGCTTTGTTCAAATCCTTGCCACACACAGTCTAGGAGACTGAACCGTTCTCCCAGAGCCCTG